AAGGCCTGTGTGCATGCTAACCACTTCAAGCAATCACAAATGTATTCTTATTCGCGGCAAAAAAGATAAAGTAAAGCCAGACACTGTTTTTTTTTACAATGATGCAAAAAAGGGAGTCGATCTGTCTGACCAAATGTCGTCATATTATAATTCTTTACGAAGAACAATCAAATGGTACCGGAAACTTGTTATACAGTTGATATGCGGAACCTGTCTGGTGAATACGTGGTACGTTCACATAAAATGGGGAAGTAAACGGATGAAAATTTTTAAATTCAGAGGAAAGATTATTGACCATTTGTTGATGGATGTTGTAAATTCCCCTAGGGAAATAATAACAAAAAATAAAAACTATTTTCTGAGTTCCTACGAAGGACCCGCGAGGAAGTCGAGAAGGCGATGTAAAGAGTGTTATAAACGATTAGCAAACCTAAGAGGCAATCAGTACGTTATGAAGACAACAAAAAAAGTAAAAACATTTTGCAATAATTGTGAGGGTAAACCGGCACTTTGCTTAACTTGCTTTAAAAAATTGCATAAAAAATAGAATAATTATGTTCGATTATATTTAATTTATAGGTTTAATTATTATTTAAGTATTTTATACTGAATGTTTGATTATAATGTTGAAATGTTAATGTTTACTGATGAATAATTAAAATAAAATTTATTTTATACTATGTATTTTTTGATATTCGAGCGTGGCCCATCGGTGGGTCATGCCGCCCCACGGAACAATCAAGCATGACCCACCGGTGGGTCAAGCCGGCGTGAACTATATGATTTATTAAATCTTGCAGTACTGTCTCCGCATGTTCGTTTATCGCACCAAATTTTAATAAAACCTTGTCAACTTCATGCTCAACCGCATTACACGCCTCCATTATTGTTTTTCCTGGCTGACATCGCGTCACGTCTGCTTTATGTACGAATCACATGCCATATAGGCTTTCCCAGTCTCACACCCGTAGACACTGAAGTGCGCATCCGCGCGTCTCGCTCGCTACTGGCTACGCTACAAAAGAGAGCACCCTGCACGCGACACGGCCATGGCCGTCATGTGACATGCACGCGCGCCATACTCGTCCAATTCATATCGATTTCGGATCACCGTATCAGTTTGCCTCTTTCATGATACATTTCGAAAATAATACGCAAATCAAAAAACACATGGAAGTTTAATGAAAAAATAACTAACTCGAATTTATATACATTTCACTTATTATCTAGTTCTATTATCGTATTAAACATCTTTACATATATTACATATAGTTCACATCGAATAGCGTACTGTACACACGATTTTTAAAATATATTTGCATTACCAAACCAATGATTTGACAACAATGAAATGATGTCGCCATTTGTAATACAATCTTCTGTATGTTTTGGAATGTTAATTTTATCTACAGAGCTTTAATCTACAGAGCTTTCAACGTGCGTGAGTACCTAAACGATCAATTTTCATTTTGATGATATAATTTTAATTACAAATTAGTTTCATAAACAATAACACATTATATTTATGGAATCATTAGAATATTTTCACTTGAATACTGTTCCTTAATTCCTGTAGATTACACTTAAAGTTTTATGTTGCTCTGTAAAATATATGCCAAGGTTATCAATTGTAATTTGTAACATAAAAATGATATGGTGAAGGATATAATATTTACCCATTCGCGAGCCATTATGAAAATTGTAGTGTTGGTTAGTCTTGGTCCAATAAGTGGATTCATCTGTGCCATATAGCAACATAACCAGCTACAAGAACAAATCTTTTTTTTTTATCTCGCTTATAATATAAATTTGAGGAACACAATTATGGGAAAATTCTATGCAAATATTTTTAATTCATTTTATTCAACTTACAATAGCCAACATGTGTAAGCTGTCAACATAAGGGCAACCTGAAGAATTCTAGAAAAAAAGGGTTATTTAACACGCAAATCTTATTGTGACAATAACAATGATGTTTTCGTTACTTTTCATTATGTTCCGTAATTTGAATCATTTTCGGAATATATAAATTCTTACAGGAGAAGTAGATAAGATAATAAACAACATACCTCCGATTAACGCCTTTCGGAACAAAAATGGGTAATGCGATTCCCACTATGGCCCAGAGTAGAGTAAAAAATACTAGTGGTATCCACGACGCTCCCATTTTATTGAATCGTTTCTTTAGTAATTTAACGAATGGGTTGAGACAACCACAAAATCAACGACAGTACTAACCCAAATGTGAATCACGTGAATACGAATCTCGATTTCTGACAGTAATTCGATAGGTCGTACACGTATCTCGACTGAACATGTTTCGAGATACAATACGATAAGATACAATTATTCGATAATCGAAAGTGATCGAAGTAAGACTCGAGTGCTCAAATTACAGCTTTATTTATCGACTCCAAAATTATTCAAATTTCAAAACAGATAGCGAAAAGTAATATCGATTTCTTTTCTTGGTGGAGGAATAAATTATTTCATAAACTGTTTTATAAGAAATATTGTAGGCCATTTTATTTTAACGATTTAAATGCAAATAACTATATTTCACATTTTTTGTTCCGAAGAGTACACTGAAATCGGAACTCGACAAAATAAGTCAATAAGTTCTTGCTAAATCATAAAAACACGACATGACATATACATATGCTTAATCTCCAAATAATCTTTTTTGCGTTACTTCTGCAGCATGATTCAGCCTTGGAACATCGCCGTAACTTTTTGACGTTTCAACGATCGATGGCCCGTCTCCGCCTCCGATCGAAGAACACTGATCTATCTGACGAGTTGTTATTTCCGATTGAATTTCAATGGATTCAACCAATGGCTCTGTCATTCTTGCAATCGACTTTTTACTTTTGTTCGACGCATCGTCCTGCGATTTATCGGAATGGGATTTCGATACAGTCGTGTTTAAAGTCGCGCAAGAAGTTACAAACTTTTCCAAAATATCTAAAAATNTGAATACGTGGTACGTTCACATAAAATGGGGAAGTAAACGGATGAAAATTTTTAAATTCAGAGGAAAGATTATTGACCATTTGTTGATGGATGTTGTAAATTCCCCTAGGGAAATAATAACAAAAAATAAAAACTATTTTCTGAGTTCCTACGAAGGACCCGCGAGGAAGTCGAGAAGGCGATGTAAAGAGTGTTATAAACGATTAGCAAACCTAAGAGGCAATCAGTACGTTATGAAGACAACAAAAAAAGTAAAAACATTTTGCAATAATTGTGAGGGTAAACCGGCACTTTGCTTAACTTGCTTTAAAAAATTGCATAAAAAATAGAATAATTATGTTCGATTATATTTAATTTATAGGTTTAATTATTATTTAAGTATTTTATACTGAATGTTTGATTATAATGTTGAAATGTTAATGTTTACTGATGAATAATTAAAATAAAATTTATTTTATACTATGTATTTTTTGATATTCGAGCGTGGCCCATCGGTGGGTCATGCCGCCCCACGGAACAATCAAGCATGACCCACCGGTGGGTCAAGCCGGCGTGAACTATATGATTTATTAAATCTTGCAGTACTGTCTCCGCATGTTCGTTTATCGCACCAAATTTTAATAAAACCTTGTCAACTTCATGCTCAACCGCATTACACGCCTCCATTATTGTTTTTCCTGGCTGACATCGCGTCACGTCTGCTTTATGTACGAATCACATGCCATATAGGCTTTCCCAGTCTCACACCCGTAGACACTGAAGTGCGCATCCGCGCGTCTCGCTCGCTACTGGCTACGCTACAAAAGAGAGCACCCTGCACGCGACACGGCCATGGCCGTCATGTGACATGCACGCGCGCCATACTCGTCCAATTCATATCGATTTCGGATCACCGTATCAGTTTGCCTCTTTCATGATACATTTCGAAAATAATACGCAAATCAAAAAACACATGGAAGTTTAATGAAAAAATAACTAACTCGAATTTATATACATTTCACTTATTATCTAGTTCTATTATCGTATTAAACATCTTTACATATATTACATATAGTTCACATCGAATAGCGTACTGTACACACGATTTTTAAAATATATTTGCATTACCAAACCAATGATTTGACAACAATGAAATGATGTCGCCATTTGTAATACAATCTTCTGTATGTTTTGGAATGTTAATTTTATCTACAGAGCTTTAATCTACAGAGCTTTCAACGTGCGTGAGTACCTAAACGATCAATTTTCATTTTGATGATATAATTTTAATTACAAATTAGTTTCATAAACAATAACACATTATATTTATGGAATCATTAGAATATTTTCACTTGAATACTGTTCCTTAATTCCTGTAGATTACACTTAAAGTTTTATGTTGCTCTGTAAAATATATGCCAAGGTTATCAATTGTAATTTGTAACATAAAAATGATATGGTGAAGGATATAATATTTACCCATTCGCGAGCCATTATGAAAATTGTAGTGTTGGTTAGTCTTGGTCCAATAAGTGGATTCATCTGTGCCATATAGCAACATAACCAGCTACAAGAACAAATCTTTTTTTTTTATCTCGCTTATAATATAAATTTGAGGAACACAATTATGGGAAAATTCTATGCAAATATTTTTAATTCATTTTATTCAACTTACAATAGCCAACATGTGTAAGCTGTCAACATAAGGGCAACCTGAAGAATTCTAGAAAAAAAGGGTTATTTAACACGCAAATCTTATTGTGACAATAACAATGATGTTTTCGTTACTTTTCATTATGTTCCGTAATTTGAATCATTTTCGGAATATATAAATTCTTACAGGAGAAGTAGATAAGATAATAAACAACATACCTCCGATTAACGCCTTTCGGAACAAAAATGGGTAATGCGATTCCCACTATGGCCCAGAGTAGAGTAAAAAATACTAGTGGTATCCACGACGCTCCCATTTTATTGAATCGTTTCTTTAGTAATTTAACGAATGGGTTGAGACAACCACAAAATCAACGACAGTACTAACCCAAATGTGAATCACGTGAATACGAATCTCGATTTCTGACAGTAATTCGATAGGTCGTACACGTATCTCGACTGAACATGTTTCGAGATACAATACGATAAGATACAATTATTCGATAATCGAAAGTGATCGAAGTAAGACTCGAGTGCTCAAATTACAGCTTTATTTATCGACTCCAAAATTATTCAAATTTCAAAACAGATAGCGAAAAGTAATATCGATTTCTTTTCTTGGTGGAGGAATAAATTATTTCATAAACTGTTTTATAAGAAATATTGTAGGCCATTTTATTTTAACGATTTAAATGCAAATAACTATATTTCACATTTTTTGTTCCGAAGAGTACACTGAAATCGGAACTCGACAAAATAAGTCAATAAGTTCTTGCTAAATCATAAAAACACGACATGACATATACATATGCTTAATCTCCAAATAATCTTTTTTGCGTTACTTCTGCAGCATGATTCAGCCTTGGAACATCGCCGTAACTTTTTGACGTTTCAACGATCGATGGCCCGTCTCCGCCTCCGATCGAAGAACACTGATCTATCTGACGAGTTGTTATTTCCGATTGAATTTCAATGGATTCAACCAATGGCTCTGTCATTCTTGCAATCGACTTTTTACTTTTGTTCGACGCATCGTCCTGCGATTTATCGGAATGGGATTTCGATACAGTCGTGTTTAAAGTCGCGCAAGAAGTTACAAACTTTTCCAAAATATCTAAAAATTTCAACACATCGATTGGCCGGTCGCTATTCACAAAGTTGACGTGTTAATGCATTTACAATGCGTATGCAAATTACCTGTCAAGTTAATACTTTCTTCGGCCAAGCAAATATCATCTTGAGAACTGATACTGTCTCTGCTAAAAAGGTGTTGTCTAACATTGGACAAATTTCTGGTCTTTAGTTGGGCGGTTTTTGTTGATCGATCAAGGGAATCATTTCTATGGGGTGTTTTATACATGACAGAACGTTCTGTTCGCATTTCACGACCCTTCTTGATGTACGGTATCAGACACGATAAATTTAACTCCGTCCTACAAACGCTGTTTGCAGTTTGTATGGATAATGGAGACTTGTAGTTGCTCACTAAAAAAATATAGGAAGATGTAATGAGCATGCGCAGCAATCGTATGCTAAGTTTATTACAAAACAAAGGTATTCACCTGTGTAGGGTGTTCGTATGTACGTTACAGGTTTTTGTCGTCGATCATAAGACGATACGCAAAGTGTAGACGTTAATCGGCTATTTATGTCTAAGAATAATAAATATTAAAATCAATATCGTAACAACGTTACTTTTCAACAATAATTGTATGTACCATGAATAGTGTCTCCTTGACCTTTGCCGTTTCTTCCGTAATTTGAATTCATCAACGATGTGTTATTCATGATGGCAATCAGAGCAGGATGCAATCTTTTTACGACATTTAAGACTAATTCGCATCGCTTGATTACTCGCAACTGTTGTGGTTCGGTGGCATTGTCCGTTAAAAGACTTTTCGATGCAGCGTCAGCTTCAAATATTGCTTGAAAGTACACGGAATTATTCGATTTCCGTAAGTAACGAATCTAAAGAGACTCAGTTTGTAAACTCTTACCAGCTTTTAACTCCCTGATCATCATTATTGTTTGCCGTTCGATTATATCGCTTCCAATATCATTTATAATTGTACTAATCTGACGAGACAACGACACGGATCTGAGCACAACGCTCTGTACCTGTGCTTGAGTTACTGGCTCTCTATTGTCAAGGCAATTCGACATTATTGTGACACGTTCTTGAAGATCATCTAAAACTACCTAAATAATAATATGTAAAGCGACACTTTGTTCAAATTTCGTTCTATGCTTTGTTTCCGAGTGAACTATAAATCTTGCATCGATAATGATCCTATAGTAATATATACATGTATATGTATAAATACCTCACAATAGGCTGTCGAATCTATAACCAGATTGATCGCATCGTGTAACTTATTCATTTCCAATTTCCACTGAGCAGTCAGTAGTTTTACGTTTGCTCGCATCTCTTTGCTTTCTGGATGTAAGTAAAATGTAGTAATCGAAGAAATCAGTTCAGTCTCTAATGATTCAAGACTCGCTAAACAATTTCGAATCTGAAGGATCCCTAAAACAAATTAGTGTAGAACAAGGAATATTTTAATTTCAGATTTTCTTCATTTTCAGTTAATGGTTTCCGCGTGTTTTTACACTTACGATTTCTATCTTTACAAGAAGCAACAGCAAACAGACCGATTTGCATAGTTTTATCTATAATTTGATCGAAATCTTCCACCGCATCAGTCAAATCATTTTTGGATCGTTTTTTAGCAATCAACGAATTGCCACAAATCGTGACGAGTTTTCTTAAAGCGTTAAAAGGATCGCTGAAAACTTCCATAACAAGATTCAGTACCGAGACATTAATTTTACGTTCCAAACGATAGAGGGCATCGTTTAAACTATTCATAAATAAATTATTCAAAGCAGAGTCTGATGATTCGGACGTTAACTGATACTTTAAATTCTCGTATTCCAATATGATAGAGTGACAGGTTCCGGTGATTGCTTTAAAGTTGCAAGGTTTGCACACTTGCGCTATTGCCATTGCATGTGCGAATACGTCTTCAATTTGTACCCATAACTCTTTGCATTCTTCTATTTGCTCTTCTTGAGATTTGTTTGGCATTTCTGCCAAAATATCCAATACTAAGTCCATTCTAAATGCAAATGAAACAAAATAAAGTACTAAATTGACGTGTCCAACGAATGCGTTATATCCTACCTATAAACAAAATGATTTTCGCTTTCCAATATTTCATCCTCGGGTAATGGGTCTGGCGCATCCAATATTTCTAGTACCATCTTCAAACAGAAACAAATCCTTTCACAGATATATTTCTTACAATTCTATGCAAACAAAAGAATAAACGTTCGATTAGAAAAAAGATTTATATATACTCGTAATATCAATATCACAAATTATGCTATTACATAGATGGGTGCATTTAATTGATGCTGTTCTTGTACTACTTGGATTAGTAATTTAAAAGCTGCACACAACTGACAGGAATATAATATGATTTTTTCTGCATCCACACGAGATGCTAAGCTTTTTCTGTATATTTGTAGTGGCCCTAGCAACTCCAAAATAGACATTCCAAACTCCTAGAAATGAAATGTTGTTTAAAGCATTTAAAAATAGTATAGAATGTTTTACATAAATATTTTCTAGACCTTTATATTTTGAAAATGTTCAATTTCATTGGCTTTGCCCATTTCGCTAACATAATCCAAACAATCCGTTAATCTTTGCTTCAGTGGCAGACATTCCAATTTTTCCAAGTTTTCTAATGCTAGTTTAAATTTATCGAGTACAATTGATAGAATTTGTTCAACTATCTCTTTGTTTATTCTTTCTCCCTGCAAAATGTTTTGGAATAGCAATTAGCAGTAAGTTACATTATTTTTATATTTCAATTAAGCATACCGCATCTTTCACATGTTCGAGGGAGCAAAACTCCTCTACTATATTGGCGATTCTTGATTCCATTTCTTCGTAATCAGTAATATCTTCCTTCGATAAAGCATCAAATTTTTCTCCTAAACTCTCCAATCGATTGGAAAGAGTTGACTTTGTACTTAATGCATCATTTGTACACAAAGAGTTACTTTTTATTAATTCTCTCAATTTATTTACCTAAAGTGTTCAATGTAATAAGACCATATCATTAATTATGAAGATTATTATATTAATAAATTATCAATGTACTATTACCTGTTCTTCTATGGGTATTAATATCCCCTTTATTTCTTTCGTTTTTATAGACATTTCAACGTTTTTTATTTTCGTTTAATCAAGCGATGCTGTCAACTTTGCGACTCGTGATTGTTTTTAAATTGTAATGTGAATATAGCAAACGAATACGTTCTTTTTTACTGTTTTTAACAATGAAAGTCGACATCCGTTAATTTTTCATGTTGCCACTATTCTCTGCGTTCTCACGAATCACATTTTTGCGTCAAAGCAACATGTTGCTTTCACCGCTGCTGATTCAATTTATTTCGTATAAAATTCTTCAATATTTATTTCCATAAAAATAAGTAGTAGCAATATTTTCACGGACTTTGTAACAATCTTATTTTATTATCAATCCGCCCATCCATTTTGTACATACTATGAATAAAGCATGCGCATGCATCACAAACGTAGTATAATATTCCAATAATCAGTCACGGTAATTAATTTCTTTTTTTACTTCATTTAATTTCAGCTTTGTAAACTTGAAAAATTTCAGTGAGAAGACAATGGAATATTGGTTTTTATTCAAGTGCATACGATGATATGATTCTTACCACTTTTGCCATATGACAAAATAAAAATTTCGGAAAGAATCATCTGATCATGACAATGTCAAAATAGCATCATTATACGTAGTGGCAAAACGCTCAAACTATAATGAGCCAATCTCGACAGTCGGTAATTTAACTACCAGTTTGAGCGTTTGCTGTTGCATGGATTGGCGCTATTTTAACGTTTGAAAGCAGCAAACCCATTATGCCGAATTTTGCATTGTTTTTTATAAGCAGTAACGGTACGAATCAATTGTTCAGATACTTGATATTTGTACATGAAATGATTAATTATTTACAGCTGATTAATTACAACTCGAATATGAGACAAATTATTATAAATTCGTGCTAGAGATCTCTTCTAGGCTTTACAATCATAAAAGTGAACACGAATTCAAAATCGTAACGAAAAATCAATAAATCTTGATCGCAACTCGGAGCAAAATGATAAAATTTTGGAGGATTACTATATTAGATTAGACATTAAAATGTATTTCCGTGGGCATATTTGAACCCTAGAGATCTCAAATTAAAACTGGAGAAATTCCCTACATAATATATCAGTGTGTTGTTTATTCTTAGATCTCATCTGTTTTTATTATTCATTTGCGATTATTTGTGACTGCAGCTCATGTAGCTTATTTTGCATTGTACCTTATAACAGTCTATAAGCTGACGGTTCCATGTGTATTTAGATAGAGGGCGTAAGAAAACCACCAATTTTTACATATGGTTATTGGTCTCCTCTTATGACATACACCTCACTTATGTGGTTTTGTGACTCTTACGTGATCGCGTATGATCGTGTAGTGGGTTCTCTGATAAGTTCTTCTGATAAATTTTTGTCGGTTATCGCTTGTGCGTAATTTGATTGTATCCTTAAACCAGTATGAATCCAAACTAACGCAATTTACGTGTCCTTGTTTAATAATTTCACGCGATAAGTGGTTAGTAGCTATTGGACGTGAAAGAGGGTTATGTAATTTATCAAATTTATTTAACCAAGACACCATTATTTCTGCAAAATTTTTCGACTCCATCCATTGCTATGATCGAACAGATGCATTTATAGCAAAAATATATTTCGTGTCAGTCATAAAATTGTTCTGGATTTTGATGTTATTGAGCGCTGGAATCTCCGCGTGTATATTTATATATGTGTGTCATATGTATTCGTTTCGTGGCATTACAAGTGGAGTTCCTTCCCCAAATCAATTTCCAAAAATGTCTACAAATCTAAAAACGTAGATGTCACTTCTTTCTGATTTCAGAGGAAACCGTAGGAATTAAATTGATCGTACTGCCTGTATGTATGGTTGATTCAGTGTTTCACAGGCCAAGGCTGTGCATTTTTATGATCTTGTTCTCTCTCTAGAACAGCTTGTGCACCTTGAAACGATGGTTAAGCGTTATGAGCACAGTAAAATCTTCCAATTCGATTGGAATCAAGTGGCCCTAGCATTTTGGCACAGATATCCCAATCCTCATAGGTATGTGAAACTTTATTTTAACGTGTATTCATTTTGTAGAATAATAGTATATAGAAGAGTTTGCTAACAAAGTTCAATTTGTTTTTAGCGTTCATGTCCTTTCAGAGGATATTATATCAAGGGAAGTCAGAGATGGAGTTCTATATACCAAAAGGCTGGTAACAAAGAAAGTCTCCTGGTTACCCAAGTGGGGAGAGAGATTGGCTGGAAAAAATGCAATTACCAAAGTTGTTGAGGAGAGTGCGGTGGATCCTCATACCAAGATCATGACCACATATACGAGAAATTTGAGCAGCGCAAAACTAATAGTAAACCGAGCAGGCTTCTTTTTGTCATAGAAAATTTCGTGAAAATGTTTGAACATGAAACTCATATATATGCTTTTTAGACCATTGTGGAAAAGGTTGCTTATAGAGTGTGCGAAGACAATCCTAATTGGACCATAGCAAACAGATCGGCGTGGATTGACAGTAAAATGTTTGGTGGTGGATCTCTACAGGCATATGGATTAGAATTATTGTCGAAGGGTTTTAAACGGATGTTTGATGGTTTTGAGTATGTGTTGGTTAATATGTTTCCGCACACGGCACAGCACATGAACCCAACTGTTTCTCAAATGGGTATCGTTCATCGAGTGAGTTAATAAATCACACAATCGATGCAATTGGTAGGTATTACACGTTTTAATCGATTGTTTGATGCTAGCATGACGATGGAGCTGCGAATAAATCTAGTCTGGCGGGAGATTTACAACATTCGTTGCAAGGCAAAGCAGAGAAGGTGAAGGACGTTGCGAAGAAGGCAACGGATTTAGCGAAGAAGAAGGCTGGACCGTTTTACGCTGCGTATCAACCGCAACAGTCATAAATGAGACGCGCCGGCCAAGTACGGCGCGATATGAGAAACGACTAAAACTACTTATCTTGTTGTTAAGTTGCATAGGAAATTGTAAATCGCTAAGAGATAACCAGAGACGCGCGTTAGTTTTCCGACAGTTTCGAATGCTAGAACGTTCCTTCCAGAGACAGGACATTGGAAACCAGAGAATAGTTTAAATATGCGTCCAAATGTTATTTCTTTTCCCAAGTTCGAACACTAACTAGAAGCGTCATTTGTTCTTGCACAAGAATCGTAAAATGTTGTCGCGCGAACTACTCTGTCACGATAATGTATAATGCACATTACGCTACACTATCATTCCTTTCAACTACCAATCCGTGGTTTAATCGTTTAGTTCTCTGTGTCATATATGTATATCTTCGTAGTAAGCGTTTTCAAACACAAAATCATATTTTTTACAATAACGGAACGAAAATGTTTGAATGCGGCGCTGTTACGGTACTATTATTGCGACGATACGTTCAAAGGAGGAACGTATTTTAGATTTTGATGTACGCGTAGTCTTAGATTCGTCCGAATAAACCAGAAAATGTGATTCTCGTGAAACGAGTACGATTGGGTTCGGTCTGGTTATGGGTGTCATATGGTTATAATAAGGTACGCATTTCGTGCATCTCGTATCTTGCGATCGGCGCGACAATCCGTCGCATTTCTCACGTTTTGCCCGATTTCTCGTGACGCATCGTGCATATTTATTTGGTACAATGGAATTGGTGTACTAACGACGATCAGAAAATTTTATTTCGGTGCGCATTCATAGTCAATTTTGCTTCACGCGTGCAATTATTACTTTCGCGTAGATCCAAATATAGTATGTAGTCTGTGCTATTCCTGTGTTTGTACGGTAGAAATGTATACAAACCACGAGCCAGAAACTACATAGGAAATCAAGGAATTAATAAAAACTCACACGTCTATTTTTAGCCAGTATTGTCCGTCAACGATGCGAGAATCGCTCGATATCAGCGAAGGGATTCACTAAAACTATATAAAATGTAATTAATTACATGTATGTAGTTCCAAAAGACTGTTGCTTTTTCATTGTTGTCCGTCCATTAGCTGGTTCGTATCCCAAGTCGGGAGTTAACAGTGTGCGGTCTCGCACACGATTCTTTGACATCGCGAACGGACCTTGATCCTGCGGTCTCAAGGAAAGTGGGATTTACCACAAGCACTTGTGCTCGCATTGCTCATCTATATATTCGAGCATGTTGTTATACCTCCCACCCTCTCCCTCTTTCTTTCTTTTTCCAATTTCCCCCTTCGTTTTGTACGTAGTCAGAGTTACAGACGAGGGGACATACAGAATAAATGGATGGAGAGAGAGACAGAGAGAAGAAACGAGTTCTCGGATGCAGGAGAAGCGGAAGTTTGATTCGTTCACGGGTTTTCCTCGACTGGTCTGTCATCAACTATAAAAGCAAACGCAAATCAACCTTCCAACAGTTAAGCTTCTACGTTCGGATACACAAAGGAGAGACAAAATATTGCGGATAAATTTGTAGATACGGTTAAAAGTCGCGAAATCGAGCATTATGTGGATGCTTTACGTAGCGTTGGGTGAGTACACAAGCGCTCTTGAAATTTCTAATAAGTATCCTGTGTTGTCGAATAAACGTTACGTTCTTTACATAAAATGATTTTCACGCAGTTGCCGCGTTCACTGGAAGCCTGATCGCGTCTCCACAGGTAAGCAATTTCTCGAAAAGTCTCGCACTCGTTCAGACACGATTGGGACGATTCGGGCGATCGATAAATGCGCATAAATAACGAATCGTCGCGCGATATTTTGCCGGACTATTAGAGGTCTTCGGAAGTGGATGGATTCGTGTTCGATGGGCCAATTTCCGGTGATAGGACTACGGAGAACGTGGTGACGACTTCAACAACTTCGACACCGAGCACAACCACAACCACGGATGCACCTGTTTCAACAACGATGGATTCCGCATGCATCAGTAGATGTCCGGTGAGTTCTAGCACGGTCTTCGATCGAGAACGGATCGATCTGATCGCGACGTTACGCTTGTGTTAACAAGGTCGTCAGGATTATCGTACCGGTTTCGCCGTCGAGTTTATCGCTCGAGATGGAAGTTCACGCAGAGTGACTCGCAACGTACAATCAGCCGAAACGCTGGAAAAAGTTGTTGTTTAATACGCTTTATAGTACGGTTTTTTAGATCGTTGAACACGAATCTAACACCAAATTAATTTTTTAATCAACTTTTATTTAATAACACATACATGTTTTCAATGAAACAGTGAATTTCGAGATTACTGGTCAATAGTATTTTAATATTTGAGGTTTTGTTATTATAAAAGAAAGTTGGTCAAATTAATCGTTTTCATAGAATCATTTATTCTGAGCCGCGTATTTCCTCGTGTGCAGGCTTGTGAAAATAAAACTATGATTATTATTTCTTTTCTAAATAACAAAAGAACCATTAATGTTACGATTTAACGGTTCAGTAATAACTTCGCCTTGTCAATGTTTATTGTTTCATATACTTTGAAGTATCATTTATTGATTTACCATTTATTTGAACTATATCCGTTACTTCGAAAAATCAAGTCTCGTACAGCGTTCCGGCCCGCTGTACAACGTATCGTTTATTGATGCATCGCGATGTAGCGTCGTCGACGCGTCGGTGACGGTAACGGTAAACCATTAATTTTCTAGACAACGTTCGAATATAATCCGGTTTGCGGGACCGACAACGTCTTGTATCCGAATCCAGGACGGTTGAATTGCGCGTCGTTGTGCGGTAAAGGTAAGTCTCGGAAAACAATAGGGTGGACGAAACAACGCGGTACAAATGCAATGTTAATCTACGCAAAGTTCTTGCTGCTTCGCAGGTGTGTCGATACAGCACTTTGGACCCTGCAGGACTGCGAGCTCAAGGGGATAGTCGTTCCTGGAGCTTTGCTTCGCAAAAAGATCGCCGGTCGAATAAAAACCTGATTTTGAAACGGACCGATTCGCGACTCTTATTTATTCGTTATCCTTTCGATACTACTCGTTATCCTTAGTTGTAGGTTATGTAGGTTGTCAGCCGAGGGACGTCGTCGATGCGTTGTGATCGGCCCACCTGACTCTTCGCACGATTTCATAGTTTCCTCCGTGAATGCCGTAGAGATGCCTGGTCAGCACGTTGATTCTCTCTTCTTCCGCTCTAATAGCGGTTCGCCTGTATCGCGCGACCGTCACCAGGCAGCCAAGAATCAGCGCGATTTGTACGATCAGCCAAAAGATCAGCAGGCTGAGAGCGAGACTCGCGTCGACGCAAAACAGTCCGTCTACGGAGTCTGGGAACAGAGGAGGAGACGCGGTGGTAAAGCGTGTTTCCGCGTTTCGTTCCGCGTTGCGTTCTGCATTTCGCTCTGCGAAACGCGCTTACTTCCAGCCGTGATCAAGACCGTGTCGGGGTTCCCGTTCCTCCCCCTCGAGGACAATCGGTCCGGCGTGGGTGCGACGGGATTCTGAACGATTATCGAGAGCTGAAGCGGAAGTTCTTCCGGAGTGGTATCGTTCGAGCTCGCTTTCACGATCTCACGTTTTCTTCTTCCGAAAGAGAACCGGTTGCCGTTGCACTTGGTCTAAAATCGATTGCGAGAATGCTCTCGATTACAGTTCAATGAAAACAAGATTATACCGACTTTCAGGTTCATTTATATTAGGTTTACCGGAAAGTTCTGTCCGATAGCGTCACTTCAAGTTTCAGTACATATGCACATGTTGATTTGAGACATATATGACTATTTCTCTTTATCATTGCATTTACACACATGTACTCTCCTAAATAAACTGAGACAGAGATGTCTCGTGTCATTATTAAGTGAGACGCGATCGTGAAAACATGGCTACCGATGGTAATGCTAGACCACATGCTGCTTTGGCGACTCGTCAGAAAATCGCAGAGCTAGGCTGGGAAATTCTGTCACATCCACCGTACTTCCCAGACCTAGCACCCTCCAATTATCACTTGTTTCTCTCTGCAAAACTTTTTACAGGAAAAAAATTCAAAACTGAAGCTGATGTCAACCAAACACTAGTTGAGTTCTTCGCCTCTAAAAATAAATCATTTTTGTAAAAATGGCATTTACAAGTTGCCATCACGCTGGCAAGAAGTCATAAGTAACGATGGGAAGTATATTCTACAATAAATATTATTAAATGTATGAAAATTGTGTTATATTTCAATTCACAAACGGACAGAACTTTCCGGTAGACCTAATATAAACCGACACCGGCCCGTTTTTTCGCGTCTCGAAGGTCACCGCCTACTTAGCGAGATCCAAGAGCGATGCCAGCCTCTTCATCTGTATATAAACACGAAGCTATCGTCTTATGTACGTCGAACTCACATCAACGCATCAGTATGGTCCACAGAAGTCGTTCACTTATTTGTGGAAAGATACGTGTAGGGTATAATGACAGAATTTACGATGCCTCGCTGAGTATCGGCCGGGTTTCGGAGAAGTGTAGTTCTGAACTACATCTGACCGATATCAGACCGACTTAGTTCAGTTCTTTCCTGATCTTTGTACTGTCATTGCTATCACAGTGTTAACTTTTTGCAATTGTATTAAATTTAATATAAATGTTCCGTTGGCGATATGGTCCTTTTACTACGTTTTCATTCGCAATTATCCGGTTAATTTTATTCAATCAAATGTTGAATGAATATTTTTGGCATTCGAAAGTATGTTTTCATAAAAATTTTGAACTGTGGTCGATTAACACGTTGAATGCCACGCCGGTTTTACAGAAATTGTCCGTGGCGTCACGATGAATTTTCTTTTATGTGATACATATAATGTTGAAATATCATCTGCAATAGATAAGTTACAGTGTATAACCATGTTTGACATGTTAATTGCGACAGGGGTCACTGTTTGAATTGACAATGGTAATAATACAAAATTTTAGATATTGACATTTGTTTTAAATCATATATATTTCTATCAATTTGGGCGCGCCGGTCACCGGTGGCCCCCATGGCGTCACCGCCAAGTTAAGCGCCGGTCACCGGTGACCCCCGTGGCATTCAACGTGTTAATTGTTTATATAAGAGAACTTCTTCCGATTTTCGGTTTCTACAAATTGAATGAACGCTCCAATTTCTTTCTCTTCTCTTTTACTACTACTATTCTCTACGTTCAGTGCAATTGGTATTGCAATCAAATCACTCCTCGAAAACGAAAAGCTGTTTGTCGTTACATTCCCAGCTCTTTTTCTATACTCTGTCTATACTGATCAGATGATGTGTGATGGGACGCGGCAGAAACAGTGGGAAAAGCGAGCGAGACGGGGAACTCGAGAGATTTTTGGAAACGGTAGCACTCAGTGGGGAGAAGTCTGGAGCAGTGCAGGCATGAAAATTAACTACGTAGGGCGACGCATGCGCAGATAGACCCGCGCAGTGACGTGGCGTCTGCCGGATCAACATTACAATTCTGGACTAAGATCAGGACACAGACTCTGCGCTCTGCGTCGCCATCGTAGTTCACAATTACAATGTTCACCCGGTAGACGCCCCACGCCGTAGTGCGGGACTCGCCGCGCATGCGCCGCCTTGCGTAGTTAATATTTTTGACTGCACTGGTTGGAGGTTGAATCGGCATCGATACGTTCAAGCTATTATGCGTAGGATATCATTCTCGGATCGGTGTCGGTTCGGTGTCGGTTCGGTGTCGGTTCGGTGTCGGTCTGTATAAACGGATCTTTAACCGCGACGGACGCAGACGATACTCACCGGCGTGCACACCTCCGCGCAGAATCGAACCAGCACGTTGAATCGAACCAGCTGACTGTCGGGAAATTTAAAGGCGGCGAAAGTCGCGATCAGTGATCTTCCGTCGGCGGGGTCTTTGGATAAAGCGGGAAAGGTGGACGGATCGGTGGGGCAACCGAGTTCATCCAGAAGCAGGAAAGACGAGTCGCCGGACGCGCTGCTCGCCACAAGGTGACCAGCCTCGATGTCGTACGGACCTTGCGGAAACACGAGTGAAAGTAAACGAATTGAAGTCGACCGATGTCGCGCGTGTCCGCTTCCGCGCGCTTACCGTTCGCCGGATTTAACTCGATCTTGAGAATCAGTTTCTGTCCGAGATGAGTGACCACGGCGTCCTTGGAATTTTCATCGAGGATCCTCATGGTCACCAGCGGCGGTTGAGACGACGCGTTCACTATCGTCGACGATATCGGCGGCACTCCTGCGCTAAACGGACGAAATTCGAATCGCGGGGCGAGTTAAAGAACACGGAGCAAATTTTAAAGAAGAGAAGTGTCTTGTTACTTTGGGTCGAGGAAGCTGAAGCTCGAATGAACGGTGACGTTCCTCGGACCCGGTGGTTCTCGATCGTTCAGCGAGCAACCGATTCGAACCGCTTGGTCGCCTAGACGTTGTACGATCGGGTTGAACTGCACCACGATCGTCGTCCAAAACAGCGGCCGCGTCCTGCGACAGGTTATCGTTCGCGGGGTTGTCGCGGTCTGAATAAAGTCGGAACGAATTTTTTCCGATTTCTTACCGATTTTGATCGTCGACGGAGAAGGCGATGTTGAGACCACATCGCGGCGTCACGTTGGCGAATTGTTCTGGTCGAGGTTGAGAAGGTAGAGGCGGCAGAGGCGGCAACGGCAACATCAGTGTTGTTCGATTCGCGCCTCGTCCTTCAACGGCGCAGCTTTCCGCGTAGCCCGCCGCGTAAATCCGACCGAAGAAGGCGTCGCTTGTGCTCAGTTCTACCCGCATCGTGCTCTCGTTGCATCGCACCCTCACTGGAAGACGGAGCAGCGGCAACAGCAGCACGGTTTCCATTCCGTTCTTATCCGATTTCGTGGTACCAGAGTTGGGCATTATTCGAATAAATTGTTCGAATAAAATTTTATTCGAATAACATCTCGAATAAGTTCGAGTAAATTATTCGAAATAAAATATATTTAGATAATATAACGAAATTTTCTCGTTTCTGTAAGGAAAATGTAATCTCATTTTTTAAGCAGCTCTCAGAGATTTGTTAAACATTTAAAATTCCGCTATGTGGAAATATATTATGCATATAACTATGGTCTGATTAAAATAATTTATTGAATAAACCACAACGATAAGAAGAATCTTCTTCCTTCTTGCTTTAAATTATTTCGATAAGACCAGAGTTATGTGTATAATATGTTTCTATACAGCAGAATTTTATATGTTTGAAAGATCTGTAAGAGCTGCTTGAAAAATGAAATTACAATATTTATCTTATAGAAACGAGAAGATCTTGTTACATTCTCCGTAATTTTGGATATTTCCTTCCTTCAAATATTATCTTACAATATTAACCCTTAGCACTCCGAACCATTCTGGACGTTGGCTACTAGCTACTCAGCGCTACTTTTCGGCAGAAACGGGCATTTAGTCTTTCTAACATATCTGTATAAACGTCTATCTGGAGCTCATCTTCACTACTGCTTGTGTCATGAGACTCATTCGTGTTTGAACGTTTTGCCATTGTTCTAATAAAAAATATGAATAAATACATAGATTGAAAATTTCTAATTGTTATTATTAACTCACAAGATGATATTTACCAAAAAAACTTTTACCAAACAATTTATTTACCAAGAGAAGAATCACTTTTCCGATTTTCTCACTCGTTAGATCTATCTATACCGCTCGACGCTTCAAACCAGACTGAGTTCAGCTTTGAACATCTTTTCCTCCAGATTTTATGATTATAAATCTTACTATACAGTGCGTGCTATGTTCGCATACCGACCTTTCTTCTACAAACTTGCCTTATCGCTCTTTTCAAATGGCGCCTTTGAAGTGCTCGGACCGTCGTGAGCACGCCTCTCACGTTCTCGTCAAAACCCGCTGACATTTCTTGTATATATCTTAGTAATTTTACTATATTTTGATTTGATTTCTTGTGCCATTTCAAGAGAAAACTTCAGGGAAACATGCATGTCTCAAAAAGTTGCGCTGAAATAACTCAA